TGTTTGCTCTCTGTGGGGGCCCTCTAGAGGACTGATTGCCCCTCGCTGCTGCTCTGAGACACTCAGCACCTGTTTATGCAAATTAACCCACAGTCTTTGGGGGGTTAATTTGCATACTCACTCCTGAATGGCTGGTGGGTGTTGCAAAGTGATGGTCAATTTGCATCTTTCTCTTTTATTTGTGTAGATAGATGAAGTAGAAAGTTACATAGTGCACCCAAGTCATTTGATCAAAATCAAAACTGATCCATGTTTAAAGCATTTTATACATTGGAATTAATAGATAATTTTCTAATTATCTAACATGATCTTATCTATATTAATAAAAGGGTAATATGCTAATTAGGGCAGACGTCCATCAGGACAAATCCACAGAGGCTGTGAGGGCTTAAGTTTGGTGCCACACAGAAGAGGTGGGTGGGTCTTGTGCCACACGGGAGGGGCAGGCTGGTCCAGCACTCACATGGAAGGGGTGGGTTAGGCCAGGCTTGCGCTTGTGTGAGAGGGGCAGGCTGGGCCGGCACCACCAGTCCAGTGCTGCGGCCCCTTATGCAGAGGTGTCAAGAAGGCAGCGCTGTGCCCCCTTCCACAAAGGTGCTGCGGGAAAGGCCATAGCATGACCCAGTCCCAGTGCTGCTCATTCCATAGAGGCAGGCATGGAGGCAGCAGCACAGGCCCAGTCCAGGCACCACACATCCACAGAGGCTGGATGGGGTGCGACCTGCTGTGCCTCAACCTCTCACAGCCCTTACCCTAGCCAGCCTGGCCCCAGATCACCTCCCACCCACCACTGGGCATGGGGCGGGGCCAGCACTAAGAAGCAAGGGCTGAGGGCTGGCAGCTGCAGCAGCCGGCAGTGGCAGGAGCAGTGGGGTGAGAGGGAAGCACCTTCCCTTAATCAGCCCAGTCGCCTCTACAGAGAAGGACATACCCTGAGAGCTCCCGGACTGTGAGAGGAGGCAGGCTTGGTTAAGGAACCCCCTCTCCCCGTCCTGTGCACGTATTTTGTAAATTTACTGGCCTCCAGTAAATTTAAATTTTTTTATCATCACTTTTTCTGTGTAGCTGAGAAATAGTGGATTACAAAGTTAAAATAATGGTTTATAAAATTTTTGGATGAAGAAAAAGTAGATTGTTCTCCAACATTATCCTATATAATAAAAGGCTAATATGCAAATTGTCCCCTCCACTGGGAGTTTGACCAGGGGGTGGGGCTAGCTGTTCAACAACCAGAGGTCCCTCCCCCCAGCAGGCCTCACCCCAGCCGGTGGCGGAGGCAGGCAGCCAGGAGAAGGGAGGACCCAGCTGGAAGCCAGTAGCTACTATGGACCCTACCCATGGACGAATTTTGTGCACTGGGCCTCTAGTTTTATATAACTGTAAAGTTAAAATTTTTCTCATCACCTATTTTTTTCATGCAGGTGAAAAATAGTGGATTATAAAGTTAAATGGTGGATTATAAAGTTCATTTCAATGAAGAAAAAAAGAAAGTTATTTAGCACCATTGAGAAAAAGAACAAGGAGAAAGGACTAGCTCTACAATGAATCAAGCGTTGTAATTTTTATTATTACAGAAGTGTGATATTGTTGTATGAATAGAGATAACAGTGAACAAAAAACAGAAAATTCAGAAACAGACCAAATTAATCATGCCTTATTCATTTATATTCAATTCAATGACACTATGTTACAGTTAGATTCAATA